AAGATGCTGGTCGGTAGTCCGAGCTCGCGGGACGCGCGAAGCATCTTCGCAGACGCCACTGCCATACTGCGGAGGTTGCGCCTGTGAGTGGCCAAGGCAGCAGGGTCCGTGGGGGGCTGGATCCAGGCTGGGTGTGCTCGCGCCTGCTTTGGCAATGCAGAGGGCGCACCGAGGGCTTCCTGCGGGGCTGCTGGACGATCCGCCGTCTCCTCGGTCGACTCGGGCTCGCTCTCGTCGAACGTGACGTCGGTGGCCGGCGAGCGCCCGCGGGCTGATTGGCGCCGGGAAGGCACCTCTGGGGCTGGTTCGTCCGCAGGCTCGCCATCCCGCTGCTGGGGCTGGGGCGGCGGAGGGCGGCTCGGGCTGCGCTGGCGGCTGTGGCGAGCGCTGCTGTGCGCCGGCCTTGAGGTGCGCCTCCGCCTCCGCTGGTGCTGATCTCGCCCGCTGCCCGCTGTTGCGTGCTGCTGCTGTTGCTGCGGCCCGCTGCCTGCGTGCTGCCGCTGGTGCTGCGGCTGATCGCGAAAAGCGCTGAACGCCGCTGGGCTCTGCTGTGGGAGCGGGCAGCAAGTCCTGCACATCAGGTCGCTGGCGGAATTTTGCGCGCTCGCGCGCTGGGCGCCGCCGCGGCGGGGGCGGCGGGGGCGGCGGGGACTGCTGACCTCCTCCGCAGCCTTTGCCTCTGGCCTGCCACGCCATGGCGCCGTGGTGCGTTGCGAGACACTTGGCGGCGGTCGCCAGACGCAGTACAAGTCGCGCCGCCCGCAGAAGCGGGCCGCGGCGCGGCTGGGCCCGCGCGCCCGATGCGCGGGCGCGGGCCGGCGCGCGCGGCTGCTCGCCCCGAGAGGGGTTCGCCGTGCCCGGCACCGCGCCCGAAACCTCTCGAACGGGGGCGGCAGCTCAATGGATGGGGGGGGGGTGAGGGCGACAGGGAATGAGGGGCAGGAGTGGGGGAGGAAGGAAGGGGGGAGGGAAGCGATGGAGGAGGGGGAAAAAGGGGATGCGGGGCGCAGGACGCAACCGGCGACGACGTCGCTTGGACGGCGGGCGCGCGCCGCGCGCAGACCGAGGCCCCGCTCGGGCCCAGTAGGGCCCAGCTCGAGCCAGGCGAATACGACGCGGGCGCCCCGCTCCACGGCCGGGGGCCCCAGTCCAGCGCGATGGCAAACTCTGCGGGGGCGCGGGTGACCCAGTCCGGAGATGTAGACCCACTCGCGGGTGCCCCCGCTCACGCCGCGCAGGTCCCAGCACGGCGGGCCATCGATCAGGGCGAGGCCGTCGCAGTCCAGCACTCGCTGTGAGTGTGTCGCACCAAGGCTTTGCTTTTGGGCGTGCGTGATTCCAGACGACGTGGCGACATGAGCCAGGGGCCTGGGGCGTCTTGCGCGCCATCGCCCAAGCAAAAAAACGCGGCGACCGAACAGGGGCTCGCGCCCCGAAACGGGGGCGCGCCTGCATGTGAGATCTAACGCCAAGGCCGCAGACAAGTGGCGACACGAGCCAAGAAACTGGTGCGATCTAGCGCCAGACGGGGCCCCAGCGCCCGCAGCCGCGCCAAAACGAACGCCCCCTATGACCCAAGCGTAATTACCATTCCACGACCCGGGAGTCCACACCCACGCGATAACGAACTCTGCGGGGAAGTGGGCGCCCCAGCCCAGCGAATGACAAGCCCGGGGGGCCAAGCAAGATTCGGCCGATGTTTCGCGCATGTTTGGACGGTGGATTGCATGCGTCCTTGGTGCTCCCAGCGGGCCAGCTTCGCGTCCTTGACCAGGTCGTGCCTCCCCTTGCATGGCCAGGTCGGGAATGGGTGTGAGCTGCGGCGCCGATGCCGCTGCCTCCGCTTTCCCGTCCGCCCGGTGCTGTCGACGAGATGCATGCACGTTCGAATGGTTTTATCGAACGCGTCTCCCGTGGCCTGGCCCATCCGATCACGGCAAAACGCTGCTGCTGCTTGAATCTAGTCGTAGCAATCCAACTGCGACTGGGGTACGCCATGGTCCGCTGCCGCTTGCTCCGCAGCGACATCAGCAATCGAGTTTCCAAGCAAAGCGTGCTTGGACAATCCTCGTCGCAGCGCTTCCTCGCTTGAGAAATAGCCATCGGCTTGCAGGATTCTCACCGTGCCCGACCTGCTCTCCAACTGAACGCTGCTCAACCTCAACAAATCAGAGTTCGCGCGCTTGCTGGCAGGCCAAATTAAACGTTTTCTTCTCCAGCCTGCGGCCAGCGTGCCCGAGTCAGTCAAATGTTGCAATCGTCCCGGTGCGCCTTTCGAGCCGCTGTAGACAGCCCAGATCTCCGCTCCTGACGGGGTCCTGGGAAGGGTTCGCGTTCGCCGGCGCGCAGAATGCATTCGCCGTGTCGATCGACTCCCAGCCTGTCCCTGGGCCAACCACACCTCATACATGTGTCCCGAGCCATTTCCTCCACTGCCGTCGCCGCAAATGCAAAGCGGGCCCAGGCTCGGCGAGCAAATTCTGCGCGGGCCAATGTGCTCGCCCACGTCGGTCTCGCAGTCGGCGGTGTCGCAGGGTTCGGGCCATATCCATTTTCTCGGCGCGATGCCCCTAAGCCAGAAGCGCGGCGTGGAATCTTTCTGATCGTCAACACGTCGTAGCAAGTACTCGGATTTCTCACAGGCGGGCTTGGGCTCTCTAGCTTGGCACTGGCCCCAAGTCCAATGGTAATCGTCCATCTCGTGTCCGCGGCGGCAGTCTTCCCCGCGGCCACCGACGTTGCCTGTCCAAGTGCCCGCGCATGCTGCTGCGAGCAACGCCCAGCCCCGCGTTCGTTGTGGCGACCCTGGTTGATGAGGGATCTAAGTCGCCGCTGTAAGCCTGCGTTGCCCACACTGCGTTGGCAGCCTGTCCCGTCGTTACGTTTCGCCGCCTGCCCCCGCAGGATGAGCTGAACGTCCTGCATGAGCATGTCGGTCAAAATGATTGGGCCGCATGCTTGCTCAGGGCCTGCAAACATCCGCACGCTGCCTTCCGCGTCTGCCCAAGTGTCCGCTGTGGGGCGGCCCCATCCGCATTCCCATGGCGTGGGAATCGTGCTGCCGATTGCTCCGCGCCCCTGCTGCCAAGGATGTCGAGGAGCGAGAAGTGCCAGCGGGGGGTGCGCCACGTCTGAACTCGCGCGGGGAATCAACTCGACCTGGCACTAGGGAATTCGAGTGGTAAGATTGGGGGCCTGGAGACGGAGACGGATAGTGCCGAGATGCGCCAGTGGGAGGCGCGCCTCTTCTCAACTCGAGCGGGAAGTCAACTCGAACTGACATAGGGGAACCTGGATGGGGACATTGGGGTCTGGAACCGGACAACGCCGAGATGCGATCGCATTGCCTCGTGATGGTGTTGCACGTTCTTGCAAACCTCGTCGCTTTCACGCGCTTCCCGCTCATGTCAAGAACAGTCCCTCCAAATAGCGATTTCGCCTGGGACATCCTCGCAATAATAAGATCTTCGCGACATCGCGTTTAACAAAAACAAGCGTTTCCCTCGAGACATCCTCGAACAAGCTGAGCGCCGCGAAATTCATTAATCTGTAGAACGATTTGCGTCTCGCCTGAAATCTCCTGCCTAATCTCGGGCCACCTCATGCCAATTCCGCATCGCATATCAGGCCAGTTAACCCACAAATCGGACCACGATTGCACCTGTAGCGTGGGGATGGTGAGCCCAGGGTCGTCGCCTTCGAGGTCGAGCATGGTCGTCGAGCATAGCCCTGGACATGTCTCCTGAGCGCCGTGGCGCACTGCTGCCTGGTCTTCAAGATCTCGGACAGGGAAGCACCATGGACGCTTTGATGGCACGTGGTCGGGGCGACGGGGCCTTGGCTGCTGAGCTGCTTCTCTCTTCCGATAGCGAGGGGCTTCAACTTCTGGGTGATGCGTCCGAACTTTCTAGAAGATCTCCACGGTCAAAGGCAACGCCCGCGTCTCTGCGTTGCGGATGGGCATCTGCAGCGCGAGAATCTTGTCGGTGACGATATTGGTCAACCTCGGACAGCTGGTGAAAACGAACGGTTTGTTGCCATAGCCAGGTCTTGTTTTTGGGCTCCAGCAATGCGTTGTGAGTAGCAGAAACAAGGAGTCTGGGAGTTTGTCGCGGCTGCCCCTGCATTGGGCGCTCAGGTCGCCGAGCCACGCTCGCGGTGCACACCTTGGGGATGAGATCGCAAGGCTTTTCAGGACCACGCAAACGACAGCGCGCGCGAGTTTGTTGGAGTGTCTAGATCCATCCAAGCAACGCCGCGAAGCCTGGATAGGGTCGCTGAACGCACCACGTTGCTAGAGGATTCACGGCGTTGCATGCGTGAGAGGAGCCATGACAAGAATGCGAGGCGGGGACATATCTCGCGGCAGCCCTTCTCACTCACAAAGGCAACAGGAATGGTTGCATCTTTCAATAGCTGTTAGACTAGACCCGTCGGAGATGTCGAGCTAGTGGGGAATTTCGTCCGATGCCACGCGGGCCAGAGGTTATCTCCAGCAGGAGTTGTCTGCTACCGCTGCGCCCCCCCCATCCTTTTCTTTCACCTCCACCTCCAGCCCAACCCCTCCCCTGCTTCCCCCCAGCGGGGTGCGGATTGACCGCCCCAAAGGCCTTGCCCGTCTCAGGGCACCCCACGTATGTGTGTGGGGGGGTGGGAACAGCACTAGAGAGGGAGGTGCGGGCAGGGGGCGTCCCAGAGAGAGAGAGTGCGCCCGACTGCTCGACGCCTACGGCTGCGGGCTGGCGGAGGAAGGCCAGCAGCGAGGCGTGGGAGAATAGGCACGCCCCCAACGCCTCCGAGGCGTCGTTTCCGAGCGCCCTTCCTCCACCCCTTTCGGATCGAGTTTGAGCTTGCTCGTGCTAGGCCTCGGTGCGAAACCTACGAAACCTACAGAAGCAGGGAAGTGTAGTAGGACAGGGAGGGGAGGGGGACACGCGCGACCACGACTCGTGGCGATTTGGAGCGGCGATCGCGTCGTCAGCCCGCGCTGTGGGAGGGACGTCTCTGGCTCCAGAACGTCTTGGGGAGGAAGTTGTACGGCCAATCAGGACCTCTGGCCGAGAAATCCGGGCTGACCACCATCCGGTTCCTTCCCTTCCGTCTCCGTCTCCCTACCTTGGACGAATCTCCTGGGTGCTCGCACGATCGTTCAGCTATCATGCGACCTGGGATGTGTGATATCTCACATCATCTCATCACGGCCAGGCACTTACTAAAACCTCGAACAAGACAGCAGGCACACTGAACGACGACCGACACGCCACCCACGGACCGAACGATGGACACCAAACATAACATCCAACAACCAAATTAGATCATCAAACAGAGTGTGTGACCATGTCTGGTATCAAACGCCCCCCCCCCCACCACCACGCAACATATCAAGCGAGAAGCTAGACCTGGAGCAAACAGCAAACCAATCCCGCCAACCCTGCTGGAATGTTGTTTAGGGTGTCAGGTAGTTGGGTGTCAACTTCTTCCCCTCTTCCCCTTCGGGGAAGAGTTACCCTTCCCAAGAGGCCTTCAAAATAGGGTCTACGCAGATGAAGTCGGAGAAGAGTGCCGCATCGCCAAAACATCGGCGATGAATCGGTGACGTCGGCGATGCGTCGGCAACGTCGACGTGCAGAAGCTCGGGCTTGCGCTTCTCCGACCCCATCTAGTCGGACCCAATTCGGGAGGCCTGGGCCTATCCCCTCCCAAGGGGTTCTGAACTGGGGACGCCGCGACCAGTCGGAGTCTCTAAGGCGGCTCGCGATGACTCCAAGATGACCATCGACAGTCCCACATTACCTACAAGATGGCGCGCGACGGCTCCAGATCCCTCAGATGGCCTCGTGCATACTGACCTGCCAGGTGACGCAAGAAGACTCCAAGACGGCCCAGATGTGTCGCCCCCGTGGCCTCGCAACGATGCGCCAGATTCGCAAACAATTTCTAAAAGCACAGGAATCGAGATGAGACCCTACAGGGACCCAAGAGGACCCCTGAGACTCCCAATATCACTCCGCGAGAGCCTCAAGAGGGCACCAAGGGGCAAAGAGTCGGGAAATCCAGGGTCCCCCCTCTCGTGATGTCCTCGAGGATGGCTCCAAGAAGGCCGAGATCCCCGAAAAGTCATTCGAGAAGCTCCAGGGAGGCCCAAACTCGGGCGCCTGCTTGAGCTAATGCCTCATTTGGTGTCATGGGGTCTCACCTCTTCTTTTCGTCAGTGCTCCTCCACCTCCCTCCTCGGGACTATACTACTCACCTCGGAATCGTCTACAGATGGGTTTGTGGGTGGACGAGCGAAGCGCCAAGCGTTTCATATGGCAGCGTGCCCGAGCGTGCTTCCGTGCATGTCAGGGAAAGCGGGAATCACGGGATCTGCAACTTACGAGGCCACCCGACCGTGCTACCCTGACCTCAGCGCTCGGGGCGGTCCTGTAAAACCCTGGGGAGGCCTCCCAAACGGGGCCAGAGCAGATGGGGCCGGAGGGTCGCACTGCATCGCCGATGCATCGGTGACGCATCGGCGACGTCGGGATGGAGACGAACGGACTCCAGATTGCGCCCAATCGGCAATGCGGCGCGGTCCACCGACCCCGCCTACGGCAAGTTCGTGTCGTGACGACCCCGGCGTCTTCAACGACCGGCGGCCTTTCGATCGCCAGATCGTTCCATGTTGGCCGTTTCTGGGCCCGTGGCGGCGTTCACTCCTGAATGCCCACGGCGGGGTCGCTGCCGCGACGGCGCGACCCGAACCCTGCCGCGACCCGAACCTGCCGTACCCCTGCCGGAATGAAGGGCCCCTGGGGGGAGGAGGAGGAGGAGGAGGAAGAGGAGGAGGAGGAGGAGGAGGAGGAGGAGGAGGAGGAGGAGGAGGAGGAGGAGGAGGAGGAGGAGAAGGAGGAGGAGGAGGAGGAGGACGACGAGGACGAGGAGGAGGAGGAGGAGGAGGAGGAGGAGGAGGATTTCTGGATTGGCCACGCCAACTGTACCCTCGCAGCAGGCGGTTGCGCCTCAGGCAAGTGCGCTGCGGCCAGGGGTCCTGGAAAAAACAGCGTAGCCCAGACATGCTCCGCCAAAGGGCGAGGAGGGGCAGATGAAATCCCTCGTGTACACGTCGTTCATTTCTAATCGTGCTCATTTCAAAATGTGCTCATTTCTAACTGCGCTCGTTTCTAATTCCACCAGCCCATCCAGAAACGATCAGCAAGGGAGTTGGTGAATCAGGGGCGGCAGGACGCATGCAGTCGCGCAACCGTTTTCGGGAAAACAAGGATCACACATAGCTTCCCGCATTGAAGCTTAATATGGAAATCAGTGCAAGCTACGGTGGTGCTTCGATGAGGGGGGCGAGGGGTGTTTCGATGACTCGTAATTGCTGTTTCACTGATTTGTATCTTAAACTCGCTTGCGTTTCGAAACTTGGAGCCATCTTGGGGCTCTCTTGGGGTTCTCTTGGGGCCCTCCTGGAGCTCTTTCTTGGGGCTCTCTTGAGGTCCTCTTAGGGCCTTCTTGGAGCCCTCTTGGGGCTCTTTTGGGGCGTGTTGGGACCCTCTTGGGGCTCTTTGGGGGGTCAGGGACGCCTCTCTGTTTTTTTTCCCCGGGGATGCCTGAGGGGCCTCTTGGGGCCGTTTTGGACCCTTCGCTCGCTAAAATAAGAAGGGGGGCCCTTAATCCGGACCCCCCCCTTTAGAGGCTCAAAAGTGCTGTCCTGGGGCCCTCTTGGCCCGCTCTTGGAGCGCTCTTGTGGCCGTCATGGGACCCTTTTGGACCCTCCTTGGAGCTATCTTGGGCCGCCTGAGGGGCATATTGAAACCCATCGGAGGTGAAAAACCGCGAAGGCAAACGACATTTGTTGCCTGAGGTTGTTGACAGAGTTTGGCCTCTTGGGGGGGGCCCTCGGAGGCCTCGGACAGCACTTGGAACCGCCTTGGGGCCGTCTTGAGAACTTTTTTGGACGTGTTTCGGAGGCCATATTGACCCATATGACGCTAGATTGGGCCATATTGGAGGCCATCTTGCGCCTCTGAGGCCCTCTTGGGGCCATATTGGGCCATCTTGGACGCTGCCATGGCGCGCCCCCCCCCTGTCCAAACGCATGGAGGGGGGGGAGGTAAACCTCCCAAGCAGGGAAACGAAGGAGGTTGGAAAAGGAAACGCCCTAGACAACCTGTGCCCAGGGCTGGTGGGTTTGTTCCTGGCCCCCTAGCGGCCAGGAAGAGCCCCAAGATAAAACAACTAGAATGAAAGGATCTTGCCGCCCCCCCCCCCAAGAAATCAACAAAAAATCCCACCAGCCCTCTGGGCGCAGGTAGTCTAAGGCGCTTCCGTTTCCCAAGCTCCTTCCTTTCCCTGGGAGGTTAACCCCCCCATGCGCTTGGACGGGGGGGGGGCGATCCATGGCAGCGCCCAAAATGGCCCAATATGGCTCCAAGAGGGTCTCAAAGAGCGCAAGATGGCCTCCAAGATGGCCCAAGATAGCGGCATATGGGTCAACATAACATCCGGCACGCGTCCAAGAGGCCTCAAGACGGCCCCAAGACGGTTCCAAGTGCTGTCCGAGGCTTCCGAGGACCCCCCCAAGAGGCCGAACTCCTTCAAACACCAAAAAGAAAACCAATGTGGTTTGCCTTCTCGCTTTTTCGCCTCCGATGGGCTCTTCAGGTTTCAAGATGGCCCCGCGACGGTCCAAAACAGCTCCAAAGGGGGCCCAAAAGGGCCCCAAGACGGCCTCAAGAGCGCTCCAAGAGCGGGCCAAGAGGGCCCCAGGACAGCACTGTTGAGCCGCCGATGGGACGGGGGAAATCTGAATTAAGGACCCTCCTTTTTTGTTAAGCGAAAGGATCAGGACGGCCCCAAGAGGCCCTTCAGGCATCCCAAAACAGCCCCAAGAAGGCCCCCAGACCCCCCAAAAGAGCCCCAAGAGGGGCCCAAAACGCTCCCAAAGAGCCGACAGAGGGCCCAAAGAAGTCCCTAAGAGGACCTCAAGAGAGCCCTAAGAAAGAGCTCCAGGAGGGCCCCAAGAGGGCCCCAAGAGAACCCCAAAAGGGCCCCAATATGGCTCCAAGTTTCGAAACGCACGCGAGTTTAAGATACAAATAAGTGCAACAGCCATTACGAGTCTTCGAAACACCCCTCACCCTCATCGAAATAACATCGTAGCTTGCGGCGGCTCCCATCTTAAACTTCCATGCGGGAAGCTATGTGTGATCCTTGTTTCCCCGAAGGCGGCTACGCGACTGCATGCGTCCTGCTGCCCCTGATTCACCAACTTCCCTGCCGATCGTTTCTGGATGGGCTGGTGGGGATACTTGTTTGTCAACAGCCGCGAGCGAGAGCGCAACGGCGTCGTGTCAAAGTCCAGGCGGGCCGCGCGAGGTACTAACTAGCCAAACAGAAGCAGGCCGAGCACCTGCACTCATAACGGGACCAGGAAGTCGCCGGAGTGGAGGCGGGGCTGCGACACTGCCCCGCGGTGCTATCGTGCAACGGCTGCAAGTGCTGACTGCCAGGGTGACCGACTGCCAGGGTCTGCAGGGTGCTAAGTTTGAATGCAAAGCGTAAGCGACCGCTGTGACTGTAGAAGCTGCCAGGGTGGCGTGAGCCAGGGCCTACAGGCCCGCGGCCACGGCCATCCCTGCGTGCTCGGCGGGCCCCCCACCCGCCCCGCGGAGGGTGGCTGGGCTCGCGGGCGCGCTCCCCCCGGCGAAGTGCGGCCGGGCTCGCGGGCGGTCGCCTCTTGAGCCAAAACGGCTACGGGCTGATGGGGATGCGCGAAACGTCAAGAATTTCGTTGATTTAGAAATGAACAGTGTATATTCCCGCAAGGTGCTCCACAGCAGTGACTGTTTCAAGCATCGGCGCTGCCAGAGTCCCCAAAGGGGCATTTATCCCTGGGTCGCATCCTGGGAGCGGACTAGCGAGGCGCCTCCGCGAGATGTCGGACTTGGGTAGCATAGAGTACGCACCAGCTGCCGCAAAGCCTATATATTCCCCAAGCCAGCTCCCCACCTTTCGAGAACGGTCAAGTCGAACACTGGACTGTTCATCTATAAGGCCCGGA